GGTTAATCATCACAGAAGAATCAATTATGTGGAGCTGCTAAAAATTGATTGCCATGTGGTGAAGGGAAATGAGGGTTTTGAGGGATGAAGTCAAGTCTTTCTTTAGTAGGCTGTATTCAGAAAACTTTTTTTGGAGATCTAAGTTGGATGGTCTGGACTTTTTGACTTTGAATGAACAGAATAGAGCAATGCTTGAAAAAGATTCTTTGAGGTGGAGATCCTAGAAGGCCTTAGGCAATCCAGAAGGGATAAAACACTGGGGCGAGATGGTTTCTACATGGGCTTTCTTTAGAACTCTTGGAATGCTGTTAAGGTTGACATTGTTGATTTATTTAATGAATTCCATAAGATGAGATATTTTGTAAGAAATTTAAACTCTATTTTTCTGGTGTTTATTCCAAAGGTTAAAGAAGCGATTAGCATCAAGGATTTTGGATTCATTAGCCTTGTAAGTTCTGTTTACAAGCGTATTGTGAATTATTAGTAAGGAAAATGGCGAATGAGATGAAAAGTGTTGTGGAAGGGTGTCAACATGTCTTTGTGGATGGCAGGCAAATCCTAAATGTGGCCTTAATGGCCAATGAGATTGTGGATGTGTTTAATACATGGAATTTGGAGGGTACCTTGTGCAAACTTGATATGGAGAACGCCTATGATCATGTAAATTGGAGATTCCCTGATTACATGTTGGAAAGAATGTTGAGGATAATTGGCTTAAATGGATAAAACCCGACATCTCTACAACATCCTTTGCTGGTGTGGTGAATGTGGGTCTATCTGCTTTCTTCAAAGCTACTCGTGGTCTCAGGCAAAGTGACACATTGTCTCTGTTATTACTCATCATAGTTATGGAAGCTTTCAATTGATTGCTCTTGAGCGATAGGGAGATGGAGATGTTTAAGGGACTGAACGTGGGTAATGGTGAATATGTGGTGGAGGGTACTAATCTGTTATGTGGTATGATACACTGCTCTTTTGTGAACCGAATGAGAGGGCCCTACTCGACCTTAGATGTATCCTATTGTCTTTCAAGCTATATCAGGCTTCAACAGTAATCTTGCCAAATCTGAGCTAGTGAGATGGGGTGATGGGGGAGATACAAGCAGATTAGGTAGATTATGGGGTGCAGATGTTTGGAACTGCCGATTAAATATTTGGAATTATTGCTAGGGGTCAAATATAAGGAAATATCAGTGGGACCTCGTAGTGGCTAGGATTGGATAAAGGCTAGTTGGTTTGAAGGGAAACCTTTTCTCTAAAGGGGGGAGACTCACACTTATCAAAAGTACCATGATCAACATTTTTATGTATCGTATGTCTTTATAGACGGTTCCAGTGATCATGGTTAAGAGAATGAAATAAATCCAGCATAAATTCTTATAGGGTGACATAGAAGAAAAGAGGAAGTACCAGCTTGTAGCGTTGGACGAGGTTAAAGAGTCTATCCACAGTGGAGGGTTGGACAAGGTCTTTGGTGGAGGTCAATATGGTCCTTCAGGGGAAGTTACTCTGGAGATTCATGAATGAGAGTAACAGTTTATAGAGGAGAGATTGAAGCAAGGTTTCATACTGTGACTAGAGGTTAGTACACTAGGGGCTCATCTAGACTAAATGACAGTGGCCTGTGGAAGAAAATTTACACGGGCCAAAAAAACTTCTAGGATTGTATTACTTGGAGAGTGGGTTTGGGAGACAGGATCAATATGTGGCAATGACGTATGGGCTGAGGGTGGCAACTCAGAGGATAATTTCTTCAGATTTTCACCGTTGCCCTGGTATAAGAATGCATTGATCAAGGATTGATACCGTGGATCTAGGGGGAATGGGGATTGATTTGTGGAGGTCATGAGAAATCTTAATGATCGAGAAGTAAAGGGAATATGAGACTTTACTGTCTGTTCTCGCCACAGTGAGACTTTATGGGATCAATAACCAGCCCATTTGGAGGTTCAATGCTAGAGGGAATGTCTCGGTTAAATCGTTCTATAATCGCTTGACCAGGGGAGAGATATTGCACAAAAACTTTCCATTCAAGCATATTTTGAAGGTACGTTTCCCCTAGAGTTACTTTCTTTGCTTCGGAGGCAAGTAGGGATGTATTCTAACTTTGGATATACTGATCAAGAGGGGCATGATTCTGGGTCAATGGATTATATCTATGCAAGATGGACGAGGGAGTCATGTAATAATATCTTCCTATGGTGTTCCATTGTGTATAAACTGCCATCTCTAGCATTTGACCTTTTGGGTATAAATTGATTGATGGCTGGCTTGGTGAAGGAGGAGCTTTGGACTTAGAAAGGTATTGGCAGGGGGAAGAAGTATATTAGCCTCAGTCCCTTTGTCATTTGTAGGTGGCCAGAGGGAGCCATACAAGAGATCTTTTGGTGGGACAGAAGAGAACTTCGACAGAGTTAAAAATAGGTGGTTTTAGACCCAAGGTTTTTTTATTACGAGTCATCATCTTATTCATCTGAAAATTTAGGAGATTTTATTAACATTTTGATATATATATATATAAGTACTTTTATACATGGGTTTACACTCCCTTATACTTGTGAATGAATTATACTAGTATATTTTTATTTCAAAAAAAGAAAAAAATTTGCATGATCCTTTTTGGTCTTTCATTTGGAAGTTATAATCATCTATGCACAGTTTTCTTCCTTTTTGGAAAGTCAACCTTCAGTAGCTTTTCAAGCAACGGTGCTCACATGCTTTTTCCTTTCTGGTGCACTTATAAAGGATGCAATTGATCTCCTGCAAGGACATTACATTGTTTCCATCAGTCGAGAAATGACCCCTCCTTCACAAAAAGGAGGTGTTGAGGCTCTAGCTGTAAGTTCATCTCAAGATGCCATTTTGTTTTCCTTATATTCTATTTGGCAAGGTTCCTTGAACATGTAAAATATGTATGATAATTTTCTGGATGTATCACATTTTGAGATTAATCTTATGCATGGAGAAACAAGATCTTGTCAACTACACAATGTGAAATCTGTCACTTTACTGTTACGTACTTGAGTTTATGTAGACAAGTTTTGAAAAAAAAATAGTAGGGCTTTTTCTGCTCTCAATCCACTTTGAGACAGCATACTTTACTGGTGATATAGATTTCGCTTTTAAGGCATCTATTATTGTTTAAATTCATTGATATTAGATTTTGGTTTATTGCTATTGCAATGAAGCTGATAGTTTCCTTTGAGACAGTCTTTTCTATTATCTAAAATGATTATTTCCTGTTTACTCCAAACAGCATATTTCAGTATAGATCTTTATACTGCCCATATACAATAGTGATGCACACTGAAGATATCTTCTGTCTTTCATGAGCATGTGGCTAGTTATGGACAAGAAGGTTTCATTTGGTACATGAAAATATTTTTTTAGTTTTATTTTTAAATTTAGATTTATTTCATTGATAAAACCATATAATTTGGTTAGCAATAAAGAAAACAATTGTGGACAATGATGATTAAAATAGACAATTTTAAAAAATTATATTTAGTGTTGTTTTAGAAAACCACTTTGTTTGTACTTGTTTGGTTCCACAAGTATACTCTTACATATTTCCATAAATAAAATACAAATTATTTTTGAAATAAAAACAAGAAAATATCATGTACCAAATTTAGTCTGACTTTCTTATTAAACTTTATTGTCTGAACAATACACCATAATTTCTTTTATCTATTCCATGCTAACTATTGCTGGCACTAAATTCGCATTCTCACTTTCCTGCAGTCTTTTCCACTGGCTTTATCATTGGTCTTGATTGGTTTCTTTTTTGCAACAATGTCGCTGAGGCAAGGTAAGTTGACCTCCGCTTATTTTACATGGAAATCTTCTTTACTGGAATAGTTGTGGTATATTTTACAATGGAACTGTTGAAGGGATTACTCAAAATGGTTAGTCTTATAGATCTAAAGGCCCAACTAAGCTGATAATTCCTGCAAATTTGTGTCTTTTTGATGGCTATGCACGGAATGGTTATGAGACATGATAGTATTCAATTTGTTTGCAGTTCGGTACGATCTTCGGCACTTATTCTTTTCGGTAATGTGGGCAAGCATGAGTGTGGCCATAGCATTATTTGTGAGGGCTAATGGCAGGATATTTTGCAACCGTCCTCGTCTGCATAAGCCTCGCTCTTAAATCATGGGTTCAGAATGCTCTGACCATTTTTTGTGGAGCTTTCACGCTGCTGATTATTATATTTATTCTTTAATATCAATTTTTGTACTCTACATAGTTGAGTTCTTGATTAGTCATACAGTGGGAAAATTGATTAATATCCCACCTTCTGCTTTTACTTTCCCAAAAGTATTAATTATATTCTTAATATTGTAGAGGGATTTGCCTTCTGCCAAAGCTGGATGGCCACAGTGATGGATCTTCAGGGGATTTGTTGTAACTCAGAACTTGTTTATACCAACCTCTAGAAAGGGCACATTATGATTTATCAAACAAGATTTTGGATTCACTGATTAACATGTAGTTAAAACTTTTATCCTTGTACTCTACTTGCTTTTCAATTGATTTACACCTATTTATGCTAGATGGATAAAGCAGATCTTCTTATGTATATCAAGTTCTGAATATTTTCTACTAGATAATATCATGTATGTCCCATATAACAAAATACATGTTAGGTACAGAGAAAGCACTTGAATGTCAGGTATTATTCTCGATATTCCAATAAAACAAAGAACTTCATGACTATTGAGACATTACCAATAAAAACGTGATACAGTATACAAAAGATAGCTATGCAACGAGAAGTTACGAGACAATGTCATGAGCTGAAGCAGAAAAATATGACTAATGAGTTGCTAGATCTGGTGCCAGAATCCTTAAATTCAAGAACTTTTATTGTTCTGCAAAATGAATTTTTTATTGAATCGAAGTATGCCTTCATCCATGTTGGTAAGGTTAGAAGAGAAGCTACCCTGCTAAACCCAGCCCGAAAGAATATGATGGAGGAAGGAAGCACCCATGAATATCTCCATGCTTGACCTGTGAAAGTCTAAAGCAACTCCCACGGACTAGATTGCAGACAGACGGTAGCATCAACTGAGCGCAAACAGCAGAATGCATCACATGCTCCATGTTGTAATCTACTACGCACGAGATTGTCCTATGATGCTGTAGATATCAAATTTGCTTCTTCTTCTTCTCCAAATAAGAATAGTTACGTTGGAAGATTAATACCATCCGTATCAGATGCCATAGACCAATCTCAGGCCACAATGCAGAAGGAGCATACAGTGGGCAGTTGCTAGACTGCCATAATAGGAAATTGCTCAAGCGGGTCTCTCCAGAACTTCGAAGCAGCACATCAGGATTGGGTGCCACTGCCATGTACATGTGCTTCTCAATGTCTACCATATTTATCAGAGTATGTTCCTGCTTCTTAATATCTTCAAACCCGCTAATCTTACCACTGCCAACATCTATAGCATTTGGTTCTCGAACTTCCTCACCTTCATTTTCATGTCTTTCTTTTAAAGTTTGCAAACTCTCACCATCATTCTTCTCAATCAGTTTACCTCCTTCAGTCGAAGAATCACTATCTCTACTTCCATTTAGTGCTTTTGATGCAACCAGCAAATCATGGTAGGACACTTGAATGCCAGGCATGGTCACACCATTGCAATATTTTTGGGGACTCAATTCTTGAATTTTGTTTTGTTTATCTCTGCAAGATTCCTGGATAGCATTCACAACCTCATTGGATGAAGTATAGGCCACGCAAACCAGAAGCACAATCCTAGTGTTGTTGGAAGTGGCCCTCATCAACTTTTCTACAGCAGCTCTGACAGGTTCATTCAGAAGTTTCAAGTTACCTATAAAATATACCCTGACACCATACTGATTGACAGTACTCTCTTCCTTGAGCAATTCTTGAATCTTCTCCAACATCAAATCCATCAGGGAATGAACCTCCTCAGGCCGTCTTTTAAAATTATCAATGCTAAAGGCATAAACAGTTATGTACTTTACCCCCAATTCATAGCAGTAATTAAGAATGGACATCAGAGCCAAAAATCCAGCCGTATGTCCAGCCCCTTCATCCAGGCTTCGCTTTTTTGCATACCTCCTATTCCCGTCCATGATAAAGGCAAGATGGTTGGGGATAGGACCCATGGACAGAACACGAAATATGCATCTCCTTGAAAAGCTACCCAGATTTCCAAGCAATTGATTTGCTCTAATAGTAGCAGATTCTCTCATGTCATTTAAATCATGAACCACCATCGTAGAACTGGCCTGTTCAAAAGGAGGGAGAAGCATATAACTTAGTTGACTCTGGTTTATAGAAAATACCATCAGGACAACAAATGCAGAAAGTGCCCAGAGAATCACAAAATTTCGTCAGTATCTTCCAACTAAAATGCAGAACGATGGTGTAAACAGTGTAAAGGACAGTAATAGAAGCATATGCTTTATGGAAGTCAACAATCGAACTGTTAGCCATATTTATAGAATCCAGATAAAGATAAATTTCTCAGATCTACTAGATAAAGATTAACTATGCCTTAATGACTGACCAATCTGAAACAATAGGTTTTTTTAAACAGGGATGACATGCAAAAAGAAGAAAACATTAAGGAACCTGCCTGACCATCAAAATCATGCAGAGGTATGATTAACTGCGATATTTTAACTAACAGTCAAGAGGTCATTAGAGTTTACTCAAACCACGTAATAAATCCTCATTCCAGCCAATTTCTTGTTTTAACACAGATTGAATGCTCAATCAAACTGAAAAACTTACTTTTTCCTCCCTCTCATAATCGAAATTCAAAATCGCATTTCATTCATGTTAAAAAAAAAATTAAGCAACCACCAATTTCATCGATTCCACTAAACCAGAAAGTAACAGTCACAATTTCATATCTAGTGACGCTGATTGAGATGAAAACATACACATG